GTGTTTTTCGGACTTAAGTGGCTCTGAAACGGATAGATCCGTCGAAAGCCGCATGTCGGAAATTTGATCCGATTGCAATACTTTCCTTACCTATTATAGGTAGGAAAGTAATAAAATAACCTACAGATAAGTAAATTAAAAACTCAGTCATACCTATATACATGTTGAGATTTAAATATGGATTTTAGAAAGACGCTTTATGTTCGTTTTTTATATCATTTTTATTACATTATATCAAATTAAATTTGAAATATGTTGAAAAAAAAAAATAATAATTTGTTTTTGCAATAAAGCTATTAATCAATTACACGTTTTATAAAAAGTTGTGGCTCTATTCTATTGTGGTTCCCTTATTAAGCCGGGAGGTCCCAGGCCGCCATCTATGAACTTTCCACTATCCCAATCCCCACATCCCCACATATATTATTACAGTAAGGCTCTAAATCGGTTCTGTACCAAATATAAGCTCCTGTCATGCTCAAATACTATGAATGGGGTACCGTTGGATTCAGAACATCCACGGGAGGTTAGCGAATCGTATTTTCCACTTTTGTTTTTCTTTCTAAAATAAATAAAGTCGATACAAACATTTTCCTAGTCTTCAATACTGGAACGGTGGTAGGTCTGTAGATCGATACGGGACAAATTGGATCTTGAAGATTTTGATGCGTACAGCAAGACCCAGATAGTTCCTCCGGAACTATCGGATCCTGCGTTTTTAAGCTCCAAAACGTACTATTTTCGAGATAACGCAAGGCATAGGTTTCGCATCCACACAACCTTGCGTTAATTGTAGTACTGTTATTGAATTCATGTCTCATTTCGTCGACTTGAGGCCTCTATGAACGAGAGAGGAGAAGTTTATATTATTTATCGATGGTGTTTTTGATCGGCAAGCCATATCATCGTTAATTCTTAACAAAATCTCAAGATTGAGCCACCAATTTCGAAGGCTTCCTTCTCTTTCAGGCGAGCTAAATAATCCAATCACCCCGAAAATTCAGTTATGAAACAAGTTAACAAGTTATGAATGAAAACCAACTTTATTTGCGAATAACTAAAAAATTACACACTTTTCCCTTGGTTATGCCCATGATTATATAAAACATTACTAAAGTCCCTGCAAAATGAAAAAAAAAAATCAGCTTATTGAAATTTGTAAACATGTTGGTTACAAAAATTAATGAAGATTTAAATTAATTTTTGTTTCCTTTGCGGATTATATTTATCGATAAAGTAACAATTGATTTATTTATCTTTTGATACCTTGCATTATTTTATTTTATTATTAATTTGGCATTTAAAAACAATATGCTATGCGAAAAATTCTACTAGTAGCTATTTTTAATTATAACAATTATCAATGAATGGAATTATTACAGAACCGTTTTTAAATTTCTGGAGGATGAATTTGCATTGCCTGGTAGAGCATATTGGCCTACATTCCAAAGAAGATGTTCCGACAACCAGATCTTTAAGGCCGAATACCTTTTGAAATAACCTGTCTTATGTAACATTCCCCAAACTGGTTTGCCCCAACTGATAATGTCTAAACTTATCTAAACATCTCTGTTCTGCGGTGAAGATTTTTTTCTGTTGTTTTTTTTTCCTGTTCCATTTGAGAAATCGCAATTTTACAAACATGTATATTGCGTCTTATTTAAAAAAAAAAATCCTCATGTTTAAAATAAATCGAACATTGTTCAGTATCCTTTGATATTGAGCAATAAACATTTTTTTAAATTTTGAATTTAAAGATTTCTATTTCTAGATTTCTTCATATATTTACAACATTTTCTTAGTTACTGTAAAGGAAAATTATTGTTACAAATTATAGGATTTAGTTTAATTAGTTTCTATTACCTGAACTGAGAATTTCAATAGAAACCTTCCTCGTGCCAAGGTATGTTCAAATGGTTTGTATGTTTATGAAACGGAAAATGTGTGAAAATAAAAAAATTAAATAAAATAAAATAATCTCCAATATACAGCAAAAAATAATAAAACAATACATAAAGGTAAAATGACGCTCGTAATATGATAGTAAAAAAAATTTTTAAAAACAAGAAAGAAATAAAAGGCTAACTTTTTAACAATGAATAAAAACGAAATTTTGAGTTCTGAATGTACAAAAAATAAAATAACTGTCTTAAATGTTCGATAAACTGAAGAAGATGAAAAAAAAATATATATGTAAGTAAAATAAAAATGGTCTTGCAATAGACAGAAAAATTAAAATAAAGAAATAATGTTTATTACTTAATTCATGATATTTGGATTTTGAAAATGATTCCTCTAAAGTAAAATGTTGAACCGAGTTAGATATGGAGATAGGTGTTGCAACTGGATACATAGACATACATACTGACAAAAATAAGCAGCTAGAATCAATCATTTATGCTTTAAGTACTAAGTTCTAGCTTATATTTGCGTATCAGGTACGTAAGGCAATAACAACTTAATGATAAATATGCTTAGTTTAAAATAAATCTAATTTATTGTATTTTGTTAAGGGTGATGCAAAACCTTTAAAGTTCTTCATATATTGCTTTGAAGTTTTAATACACAGTTGCAATCAAATTCATGAGTGTTTTTATATACGTTTTATTACCATACGGCATTTAGTTTTCGAAACTCGTGTCGTTAAAGAATATTCCGCTGAAATGGCTTTAACGATTTTAATGAAGCTTGATTAAAGCTTTCATCTTAAAGCCTTTTTAGTTCATATGTAACATACTTTCCCGAAAACGAGCTGCGAAACATTCCATAAATTCTGAATTATATTTGCCATTAGCTCAAAAAGTATCCAATTTTTGATTGGTTATATTCATAATTATTTGAAAACTTCCGAAATTCTCTACAAAATCAAAAAAAAAATCATGGAAATCGAAAAAACCCGTATTACGAATTTTCGTATTAATCCAAAAATTGACGAGTGAGCAAATTGGGTTCAAATATTTCTTTTTTCAGTTACGATGAATTCATATTTTTATTTTCCTATAACTCACAAAGTACAGAAATAGTACTCCACTATTTTCTTTTATACACATAAAAGTGAATGCAGGAATATATAAGAGTAGAAAAAAAAATGTTTGAAACATACAAAGTGGTTTATGTTTTCCTCAAATTTTCAACAATCATCATGGTCGAATTTCGATCAGTTGGCGAACATTAGTTATAATAGCAATGTTTTAAATTTTTAAACTAGACATGTTAAAAGTATCCCACGGCAAAAACTTATCAGCTAACAGGCTTTTGGCAAGAATCATGGTCAGTTTTTTGTCCCATAGTCAAGGCGTAAAATCTGTTGGTTATCAACGCCGTTGATTAACATTACATATAATTAATTATATCTCTTGGTTGTCAATAATTGAAATAAAATAAAATTTTAAAGACGTGAAACGCACGTTATTTAAGGTTATTGCATTTATGTTAAGTTGAGTAAAGAAACAAGACATTTTAGGGCTTTGAAATTGTAAGGATCGAAATTGGGAGTCGTCGACATCTCTATGGAATCCTTTTTCGTTTTATACCTCATTCATGAGAATCCATTACTTCTGAGGATATGGTACTACTAAATAAAAACTTAAGTGTGTGCTTTACGCCATAGAATTGAAAACATCAACAAGGTAAGATTAATAATATGAAATATAAATTATCAATAATTGTTCATTACAAAGATAATCAAATGCAAAACATTTCCCTAGCTTACAGTATGCAGATCGGATTTTTAACTTCTGAGATATTTTAATCCATATCTTGCATAAAACTCGTTATCATTTGGGTATGCGGTTCTGTTGTATCTCATTATTTTTCAATTCTTTTTATTACATCTTTCCATATTGGTTGATATTGGTAAATAAATTTTCTTATATTATTAACAGACCAAACAATATTTACCTATTGTCTATTTTATTTATTCTTTCAAGCTTTTGATCCGTCTCCATTGAATTTTTTACATCATTGTTACTATTTCATTTTAGGTTATTTGTGAAATTGAGACATTTAGCCAAAATTTTCAGTTTCGCCATTGATATTACTGATGATACGACTAAGTGGAGCGCCACTTTTATGTAACTTCACTAATCCATGTATTCTAGATGTATTTTAGTTAGGATTAATTAATTTAATTTCGTTTAATAAGAATTTTTTTAAAGTTAATAAAAAAGTTCTATTACATAAAATATAGACATCAAAGCAAGGTTAATCTAAAAATGTCCTTAATGATTTATAATTTACTTATTTAAATCAGTGATTTTTATTAGTTTATGTTGTATCCAACGATTTTATAATATTTAGTTGGGAATTTACAGTTGAAAGTTATGTAATGTTTTTCCGTTATGCCTAAGAATTTCTGCTATTATAATCATTTATATTATTTCTATTCTTATTTTTATATGCTGTTAATAATGCTGTAAGAATAAAATTTCAGTGTTGTAATAATATTAGCATTTTTACCATATAATATATTAGCATAAACTCGTTATCATTTGGTTTTGGACACTATCTTTTTCCCTCTCCTACTCTCTAACATGGTGTTGGGTTAAGATACAATTTTGAAAAATTGGTCACTACAAAGAAGACAAAACTTCGCTTATAGAAAAAGGGTCAGGTTTTTTAGTATCTGAGATATTTTAATCCATATATTCAAGTAGGCTGGTTATCATTTGGTTTTCGACACTATTTTTTCATTTTCGCCTCCCAAACACGCCGTCGCTTTAAGATACAACTTATTACAAAGCGGATGAAATGCTGAACAATTTCTTCCTTGTCAGTATGCAGGCCCGATTTTTAGTTTCCGAGATATTTTAAAATATATGTAAAATCATTTCAATTAGTAGACTATAGCCGACTTTACCGTAGCGTTACAATCTGACGGATCAATCTAAATCACTCTCCACGAAAAGTACGAATCACGCCTTAAGAAGTTTTCCCTTCCATAAAAATATTTAGCACGATATGTTAATGACGATGAGTACTATGAGGCCACAACTACTTACCTGAATGATGAGCTCCCGATGATGAAAGGACTGAGTTCAGGATAACGCTCAGCGCAAGTATTATTAAAAGAACCTTCATCGTTGGCAGATGTCTGGAAGTATGAAGAAAACTGTCTCTTATACAATAGTGTCACTGTGTTATTCCCATCTGGTTTTTACATGCCATAAATACCTTAATAATCTGTTGTTTTAGTCGAATCCCCCTATCCCTAGACGTAGTATCGAACATTATAGGTATATATATATATATTTGCTTCCTCATTACCAAATGTAGGAAAACATTGTATTAGTTTATTAAGTTGCTTGGCAATAATAACTTCCAATTATTAACAAACGAGTATATTTTACATTCTGTTGCAGTCTAGTTGACGTTTCGGCATAGGTACTTATATTGCTAGTGACGGTTCGAGACTGTCTGTGTCCATGCTATCGAAGCTCTATTTTTTATAGTAGGTTAAACATTTTTAATAATTGTTACAAACATATGAAGTATATGTGTACGATTGAGCTATTTGTAGTTCTAGCTTTGAAGAGGATCCCATGGTTGATTACAATAAATTTGTAATTACCTTAATTCTAATGATTATAATAGTTAGTTTAAACAATTTTCTATTCAGAATTGAAAATTTCAACTCGTGTTTTACATTTCAGACATCAAAGATTAAAATTTAGCTAGGTGTCTGTCTGTTTGTTATTCTTACAGTCAATGGATTCTGACAAAAAAGTTGCTGTAATGTCCCTGCTGTATAAGTACCTTCAATACTTAATTTTAATTTCGTCCAAGCGTTTTTGAGCTAAACTGTTCGAAGACTATTTTGCGAGAATTGGTTACTTAGACTGGTAGGATATCAAAATGTGTAACTCTGTGTAAAATGTGTGTTGAAAACACGAATTTGAAAATCTTTACAATCCGAATACATTTCCTTGCTCTCTCTCTCTTCTCTCTCTCTCCTTATATATATATTATATATATATATATATATATAATATATAATATATAGTAAGAGAAGAGACGATTATATATATCTAAACAGTATGAACGATGGAAGTAGATAGAACGTACGCATTATGTCGACTAAAGCAGTCTATGACTCGTGTATATATATGTGTGTGTGTGTGTGTGTGTGTGTGTGTGTGTGTGTGTGTGTGTGCGCGCGCACACACTATAATATATGTAGGTAAAGTAAATGAAAATCCCTATTGTTAAAGATAAATAATGTTGATTATTGGCCGCAGTAGTTATGCAGCCACGTTCACAAACTGCTGTTCCAGTTGCTGACATTTTGAATGATAAATGTAGGTACATACAAGGAGAAGTATCTGAAGCCTTTGAAGTTCGAATGAATAAAATTATTCTATCTATCTCATTATACATTAGACTTACTATCTATTCCTGACATTGCTATATATATATATATATATAATATATATATGTGTGTGTGTGTGTCTGTGTTGTATACACACACACACACGCAATTAGTTATATTATTAAACAAGATTTTATTTATTAATGGCAATTTATAATCATTTAGCTTACATTCCTTGATTTGGAAGTTCTATCCCGATTAACATCCCACGAAAATGTGTCTTAAAATTCATAATCCCTTAAAACTGTGTAGCCCGCAAATATTTAAATGTGCAACGCCCGCGGGGTAAACCTGAGTACTTCCTTCAAAATAAATAATGAAATCCTATCATCGTTTTCACTGGTTTCAATAATGTCAATAATCGACCATCCGTTGAAACTGCGGCAGTTGGATAGAAGTAGATACAGGGTTTTAATAAACCAAAACAAAAAATTAACACAGAATTATATATAGTATAAATAACATTTTACAATAAATAAACTAAAAAGTAGGTTCAAACGTGTATCTCGGTAGTTCGGCTGCACCCTGTACATTCTTTGTGCACCTTAATATAAATGTTGTGATATTTCCATTTTTCTTGCAGACGCAGGTCGTGAGACTTTTGCCCTTCTTGAGATCATTTTCGATACACTGGAAGTTGCAGTTCATAATGTTGGGCTTGGGGGCGAGAAATATGACAATATCGCTTCTTTCGAGTTTTAAAGATCGAATCCGGTACTTGGTCCGCCGCAACGTAGACAGTAATTCACTTACCACTCTCCTGGCAATTTGCTGGGCTAGGAAGGGCTACGCAAAACAAAGCAAGGAGCATAATGATGACATTCATGTTCAGAAGAGTTTGGCTGTGACTAGATGTCTGTAGTGGGGTGGCCGCTGCCCGCGGGCTTATATACATGGTTGTTACAGCTGTGATTCCCATTGACAAATTGCCGAGCGTTATTGGATAATTGAATAAGTATCTTGCTCCACCTCGCGCCGATATATTATTCGAATAAAATTATTCTATAAACCCTGTGCTAATGATTAATAAAAAAAAAAACAGCTGCGATGGCCTGCAGTTTTGTCAATAATCTGGCGAATTAATTTTAAAAAGTTGTTAAAAATAATTTAATTTTTCGATGGAATAAACCATGGTATAATTAAATTTTAGTTATGAACTAAATTTATAAAGATTCGGAGGGACATTGATGATTTGGACCTCAAGATACTGATAGAGAAAGAAGGCATCTAAAAAAAAGAATTCATTCCGTACTTACAGAAAGAGAACAGGAAGGTGTTTAGCAAGATCCAGTTTTCGGTGACGAGACATAAGAAAATCAATAAAAATATATCCAAATATCGAATTGTAAATTGAGATGCATAAACATGGAAGGAAGTGTGAATAGCATATGGGCGGATATTTAAAAGGATCTGCTACAAACAGCAACAATGATTGCTTTAGCAACTTTTAAAATATACTCATCAGGTGGTAAACGATCTGATTGGTGGTGCGATCAGGTAAAGCTCTCAGTTCATAGAAATATATAAGCTTGGCAAGAACAGAAACGAATTCGATGCACCAACAGAAATGATTGCAATGCAACAGTTCGAATTGTATATCCAAAGAAGAAATGGAACATTTTGGAAAATGATCAAAGCAAAAAGGCAAGAATGCAAAGTAATGCTAAATTTAAGAGACATGTATGGCAAAATCTTATCTAATGATGCATATATTCTTAAAAAATTGAGGCAACACTATTACTATTCCCAGGTCTTTGAAGAACCTAGAAGAAGAGGATAGTGATGAAATTGATATGATTGAATTGTATGAAATTGTGTGGGAGGAAGAAGTGAAAGAAACTATGGAAAGGCTGTAGAGAATGGAATTGCATCCGAATTCATAAAATATGAAGGGCGAAGTTTAATTGGAATACTTCAAGTGTTATTCTAAAAAGTATATGAGCAGAAAGGAATACGCACAGAATGGGAGTATATTGTTATTACTCTTACTCAAGAATTTTCAAGAAAGGGTTTAAGTTTGAACTCAAAAACTACAGACCTATTTGTCCATTTTAAGTTGTGTGCAAATAATATACGGAAATTTTTGAGAGAAGATTTAAGAGCTTGGTAGAAAACCACTTGGAAGGAGAAAAGGAGGGTTTGAAACCATCAAGACAAACCCAAGATCATATCGTCGCTCTGAAGACTATTATATAAAAGCGTGTGAGAGAGACAAAAATATTCAATTGGTCTTCTTACATATAAAAACAATATTTGATTCAGTACCAAATGAAAATATACGGAATAAACTGGAAAAGAAGAACATCCCAGTAGATCTTATACACGCTAAACAATATCGTCGACATCAATTTTATTTATTTTTATTTTATTTTTTTTTTTTTTTATTTTTTTTTTTTTTTTTTTTTTTTTTTTTTATTCATTCATTGATATTTACAACAATATTATAAAAAAATACAACTAGTAAATGCACACACAGTTATAATAGAATCACGTGAAAACGCTTGTTGAGAAACTTCCCATTGGTAACACTCTAATAATATATTAACATAAGTAGATGACGAGGCCATCTTCTTTTCAGACGCCTCGGAGAGTTATCATGGATCGAGGAGGAAGCAAGGTTTGAAACGAGAGGGTTCGGATGGTTCTGGAGTTTGTTATGGAAGGATAGGATCTGGATTGGACCAAATCGGAAACATATGGAACATTAAGGTCTTTATGGATGATTTTATTTGTGACAAAGTAAGAAGCGTTGAGGATTTTACGAAGGATTTTAGATTGTAAGGATTGGATACGAGAGGAATTCGATGGTTTTCGATGAAAGCTTGGATAGTAAGTGCTGGAGTAGTCGGAAACGTCGAGCGGTTTCTTGTCGTTTCAGTCTTGTATGAGGATTGCATGTGAGTCGTTTGTCGAGGTGGAGTCCTAGGTAACAGATTTGTTCAACTGGAATAAGTGGGGAATTATTAATGGATACTGTAGGACAGGAGGTCATAGGTTTGAGACGCAGCGTAAAGGTAATTTGATGGGATTTATTGGAATTTATTTTGATTGTCCAGTTTTTACACCATTCTTCAAGGTTTGTGATATGTGATTTACACCATGTTAAAGTAACGAATGTTAACTTGACCACCTTTTCACACAAGACGTATTTCTGTTTATACACACACATGAATTTAGCATTTTGCATAAGTGAAATTTAAATTTTGTATGCATAATTACTTTCCGTTAGAGAGATTTATTAAATAAATGGTTCAATTTTCATTATTAAGAACAACTAATAATTTTTAAAAAATTTATTGAATAAATAATTACATGCTATAAGCTATCTTTGGGTTTGTTTTCTTCAGTTTGCTCTCTCTGCAAACCATTTAGTTCCGGCAATTGCAGATAGTTTTGACACACTTTCCGCCCTTGTAGCCCTTTGTAAGGCAATGGATGGCGCAGGCTGAATGGTTCACTGTCAGCCACTTGGAAGAGAAGCTGAGGGCGTCGCAAGTGGCTCTCTTCAATCTGGCTCCTTGTTCTTCCGCATCTATCAAAAATAAAATATAATATAATACATATATTACCATAACTAATAATATTAAATATAGTATATAGCAAGCTCTTTATCGCACCTTCCAAAGGTACCTCTTTGAAGTCAGTTTCTGAAAGTGATCTTTGTTCGTCTGTAAACACATAAAAAATATGTCTTAAAATAGTTTAAAGCTCTAAAAAAATCGAGATATATGTGCAATATTATAAATTAATACCTTGGAATAATTGTACATTTTCGAATTCTGTTTGTGGAAGTGATCTTCTGTGCCTGAGTAATTCATCTGAAAAACAAAATATTAAATATCGCATTTGAACAAAACATCACATCAACATTTATATTTAAGAAAATTATTGTTACACTTACCAGCAACTGGTGATTCTTCGTACGCGCCATAGCCCAATTCTAGAACAGATATTGGATATTATTTTAAATTATATTTGCAATTGCGCTTGAACGCATGTAGCAAATGTGCTTTTGTTCATTTTGTCTGTTATATCTTGGAAATGTATTCATGTTATGAGCATATCTCGAGGACACTGCCTTTTTAGTCTTCTTTTAGGGTCCCCTGGTAACAAGGAGGAAGAGAGAGAGAGAGGACATGCGGATTAGGGTGACTAATGGTTAAAGTGCGAAATGAAATGGAATGAAAATATTTTTTTATTATCCTGGGACTGTTGTCCCTTAAGGACAAATTATAGATACAGAATAAATGCCTGTGTGGTCATACATTAAATTAAATATTTAAAATTCTCATTAAGATAAAAATATTGGAAAAAGAATAAAACAATAACACTATAAACATACAGATATGTATAATACAAACGTGGGAAAATGAAATAACATAAGTATAGAAAATCATTTCTGGGGTGAACTTTAAAAAGTTCTCTTATCTACATTTCATGATAAATTTTTACTTCGAAGTATTTTTGACTGAGCAGTTTGTATTTTATTTATGTGGACGTGTTTTGCGAAATCCCAAAGTTCTGCTCCATATGTCCAACCAGGTCGTAGTTTGGTGGTGTAGATTAGTTGCTTATTTTGTAAGTTGAGAGGAGATCTGTAGTTCAAAATATGTGTCAGTTGTTTATCGTCTATTCAGTTGTTGTTTTTTTTTAATCTCGTTTTTTAAACAATCAAAGATATATAAATAAAAAAAATAATAATATACCACTCATTTGCTATTACAACGTCATAATTTTATGATCTTTTAATTAATACTGCAGGGAAAATTCCAATCCAACATTTACTCTCAAATATTGACCAAGATAAATTTTTAGCAATATTATTAATAAATTTTAGTGTATTTATTTTTTTAAATCAAGAACTATTCAAAGCAATACAACAGGTAAATGTGAAATTATATCTGGATTTTAAAACTATAAATATATTTCCTTAAATACTTTAAATTTTGAATTAAGGTGTTATTGTTGCTAATGAGTAATACATAAATAAAAAATTATAAAAATATGAAAGTATGCAATAAATTACTATTCTCATATATTAATTTAATTTTTATATAATCAGTAAAGTTTATAATTATTCTCCTTTTCTATTCAAACATTCTTCCTGAATATTTGAACCTTAACATAGGTTAGACACAGATAGATATATTTTTTCGATGCAATAGGTCACCTTTTAGATATTATTCTTATCTATTTTATTATAAATTTTTGTGAGAAGAATTAATAAGTTCTTCATACTACTATTTTACCAATTGTTATAAATTTGATGGTTTCCGTTTCCGAAAGCAGCAAACTTATTGTTTAATAATTTTCTTTCATTATTATTGTTAACGTTGTACAAAATATGATAAAGTTCTCTCCATTAAAATATTATTTTTTAGCTGTTCTATAAAAACCTACCACTCCGTAAATGAAAAATCCATTTAATATCTTTTTATTCTTTATTCAACTAACCCAAAACTATGCCCAACAACTGGGTAATAAAAGCCCGAAACGCAAGTTAATAAACAATGTTACAGATTTAATTATGATGACTTTATTAATCCTTTTAAAAAAAAATTATATGTAGGATGAAACTTTAAAAAAATATTTTTATCTCCTTCAATGTCTAAATCGATCAATAATTTTATTAATTTATTGTTTAAACTGATAAGTCAAATTTTTTTCACAATAGATTGTCAGAATAAATTTTAATATAAGACGTTAAAATAAAACTATGCTAGTCCAGACAGAATAATGTTGATGTTTATGTTTATTTAAAATTAAATTAAATTTCATTAATTTAAATACAATATATAAAAGGAGAAAACATGATTTTTTTAAAAAAATAAAAATAAAATTGTTATGTTATCATTTATTTAAAAGTACCTATTAGTTTTAAAATTTTCTACTATTAATTATAAAATTGCTTCTGGCTCATGCATGATATAGCTTGTCATTGTTTAATTAATTAAAATAAACCGTTTTGCTAAAAAATCTTACCACTCTCTTGGAGGTCCTCGAAGACAGGAAGGGCTGAGGCTACGCAGACTGCTACAGCAGCGAAGGCAATGAGGCTATTCATCTCTGAAGAGTTTGGTATCGGCTCGATATCCGGAGACTGATGACCGCTGGCCGCTGTTGAGGGGTTATATACTACCCTCACAGGTCTCGCTGTGGTTCACAGTGGTCGGTATTTCAGAGGAACACTGCTGAAGTTCTGTGGATTTTATTTTGCATCTATATTTTGTTCATGATACTAAACAATAATAGTATTGTAATCAATTTATATTTTATAAGTATTCCAATTATTTTTCGGTAAACGTTTCTTCCTCGGAATGATTTATTTCAAAATTTTCTACAGTCAAATTCATGCCATGGATATTTAACCTAAACGAAAGATAAGAAAAGTAAATTTCATTCGGTAACATTCATTCCCCTATAAGTAACGAAAATGATCGATAGGAATTATATTTAGATTTGTTTGGCACATAATAGCTGGTAAAAAATAATTTAATTATAAACATATGAAACATCAAAGGTAAAATAAAATATTGGCACAAGTAAATAAATGAAATAATGCATGAATAAATGTCATTATGATTACAAACTTGTAACCGTTTGCTATAATAACAATAACAGTGGAATAACGTTGAAATAAGGCTAACTCTAAAATATTTATAATAAGAATAAGAATATTATATAAAATTGTATAATAAGAACATTTAATTCCTAGATGAGTTGATGAAATAACAATTGGTGTTTAAATGAAGTTAAAGGTGAGATTTTATGTATGGAGTATGTATGGTTTATAATAATAATAAAAGGCTTAGCTAACCTAAAGGTTCGATGCCGACACCACCAATTGCTGTCTAAACACCTCTCTCCACCGTTCATCTTCCAACGCCAGTCACTTCAAATTGGACTTAAACCAATCTTCTCACCTTCGCTTCTGTCTACCCCTCGGACATTTACCATCGGCACAGCAAATATTAACCTTTTAGGAATTCTTTCGTCACTAAGTCCAACAATTCACGCAATTCGGCGTAGTGTATCCTTCTGAATTCTCCGGTCAACTCATCCTTCTACGCAATACTTCATTTTAAAAAACTTTAAACGTTACTGATCCCTTGATGTAAGTGGCCACGTTTCGCATCAATACGGAACCGTAGGTAGATGGTTTTATAGAAAGTAATTTTTGAGTTTCGAGACAGGAGGAGCTTTTTTGTTTTGTCAGTTACGTAAAAATAACAAGGTTTTCTCACCTTCAGCCTAACGTAAAATTCCTCTTCAATTTCGTGTTTTCTAGTTATCGTAGACCTCAGATACCTAAACTTCTCTACATGTTCAAACATATTCCCTTCTATATCTATATCACCGGAATTATTGCATTTTTTGCAGCTAACAATATATTTTGTCTTATCTGTATTTATTTCGAGCCCTAGTTCTTTACCGGCTTTCATTAACGTTGTCTTATTTAGTTTTATAGTTTCCGTGCCTTCGTTTAACAGGATCAAATCATCCGCATAACCAAGCACGGTTGTTATCCCACCCATATTCAACCGTTCTTCGGTACGCATTACCTCCTTAATGGCATGTTCTATTGCCAAACTAAACGGGAGGTGAGTTAGGAATTCTAAAAGCAGACAGTACGCTTGATATGTTATTATTTATGGAATTTATAACTGTATTAGAAATAAAAATACATTCAGTAAATGTGAATATAATAACATAAAACCACTTGTTGAGAAATTAGAAACTAATAGCACTCTAAAAATGTATTTACACAAAAGATCTCGAGGCCATATTCTTTTCAGATCCCTCGGAATGTTATCAGGGATGGAGCATGAAACAAGATTAGAAACGAGAGAGAGTTTGGATGGTTCTGAAATTTGTTATGGAAGGATAGATATCTGGATTGGGCATAAACAATTAGGTCAGAAACATAAGGAACATTAAGGTCGTTGTGGATGATTTTATTTGTGACAAAGTAGGGAGCATTGAGGATTTTACGAAGGTACGTATTTTGGATTGTACGTAGATGGATACGAGAGGAATTCGATGGCTTAGTGGAGCCCCAAAGCTCAACTCCGTAAGTCCCAATAGGTCTTATTGTAGTCATGTAAATGAGTCTTTTGTAACTGTAAGCTAAGAGTGTTTGTCTATTTAGTGCTGGAGCTGTTTTGTGAATAATAGCTCTCTGGGTTCTATGAGATAAGAAGAAATAGAACCACTTTAAAAAACTATGAAGGAGATGTTTTGAAGTTTGGAAATGAGGAGTTCAGTTGGAAAACTGAATCTAAGGGTTTGAAAAGTCACATAGAATAGAATAGAAAATAATTGTATTCTATTCTATGTGACTTTTCAAACCCTTAGATCCAGTTTTCCAACTGAACTCCTCATTTCCAAACTTCAAAAAATCTCCTATTCGAATAGTGTTTTATAGTGGCTCTATTCCTTCTTATCTCATAGAACTCACCTAACTTTAATTTTGATGGCATTTTCAGGTTACATACTCGTAGATGATCATATATAGATCTCATCAAATTCCAT